GGAGACTTGGAGCAGGGGAGTTTCTCAGACCCAACAGGGAAGGCAGCCCAATTAGAGGATTGGCATGCAACAAGGAACCGTGCTCGTTTTCAAAAGACTCCTCCCAAAGGTATGGGGCCAGATGTGCTCATAATGAGTATTCCTAAAGGTGAATACTAGATTGGGTTCAGCAAACCACTCTGTGCATACTCAGAGATTAATTCTGAGTGTTTTGTGGTTTGTTCTATAAAGAACACTTCTCAAGGAATAGGTCTGCAGCTTTGAATGCATGAAAGAGAAACCTCAGCTCCCGACAATTGTGTCCCACAAAATCTGGCTTCAGAAAGCAGGGAAATGCTGCAGAACAACATGAGGTGGGATTGAGATGGCATGGGGAAGGGGAAATTGACAAAATCATCATAGAGGAATGCCTGATTACCTGAGAGTTTCTAGTGAATCTGGTCTACTACCATGAATGGAAGGAACTCTTCTGTTTACAGAAAAGCAGGTTTGCATGCACTCCTGGTTCATTTAATTAGGATTATCTGGTCATTTACAATTCTTGTGAATGTTCATACATTTAGATATACAATAACAAGTTCAAGTAGTTATTTTTATCTTTCATAAATAAAAAATAACATCTAGCCTTTCCTTATGAGGATATAGCTTGCCAAGTGTTTTACCTATTTTCTGGTGTTGTAGTAATTATTGCTTATATCTGGTATTTGTAATTTGTATTTTGATTTTAACAGTGTTGAAATCATGTGTTGTATTGGTTTATGTTGTTCAGTAACTGCCCTGTATTCCTGGAAAGGAAAGGTGGGGATTGATTGATTGATGGATTGATTGATGGGAGATACATTGTGTATTTCCAGAGTCCCAGAACTCCAGATGGTATTGTTTGATATTCTTCTGTGCTTTTTAAATAAACATGGATCTAGATTTTACTGTCAAATGGGTTTGTGACCTCCTTTTTTATTGCCCTTGTTTCTTTGCCTTTACCAGTACCATGAAATGTAGGTAAATGATGTCCAGTGAAAAGTTTCCGGGCACTGTAAAAAAAAACAGTAACAAAAGCATTACCTTTTGTAAAAAGTTTTACCTTTTTTGCATCTTCTATTTAAGGTGCAGGAAAAGAGCCAAAAAGATTAATCAGATTTTCTGGAAAGCCCAGAAATGAGGTCATATGATAGTATTTAGCAACTTTTTTGTTCAGGGTCTCATAACGTGAAACACTTCAGAATGAAAGGTCTGCCACAAATATTTACAAGGCTATTTTATAACTTTGATTGTTTGGACTATACCAGCCCTATGTCTATGAGCAGTGGCAATTTATTAAGTCAGTGCTTCATTTGTTGTCTTTGTTGCCCAAATGCCCCTTACCCCACAAAGGCATTTTAAGAAATACTGCACTATTCAGACATCAAGACCCACCTTTATTTATTCTGCCTCTCTCATGATTCTACCTGAAGCAAGTCACTTCAGCCTGTTGCATGGCCATGTATTTAGCCACTTGCATTACAAGTATTTTTTGGTGACCTGCAGCAGTAACTTTCTGCAGCCCAGGAAATTTGCATTTTTATTGTTTCTGCCATTAAGTTAACTTGTTTATACATCTGGCACCAGACTGTATTTAAACCCAGATAGCTGTTAGTTTAGAAAGATGTTTCTGAAACTTGAGTGCTAAATCTTACTTTTAATTTGTGAGATCTGTTTGCATGTTGCATAGTGACCAACTGATTTTATTGTTTGAGGAAATGCTGAGATTTCAATTTCAATAATATATGTCTTGTGTTAAGTGACAAAATTTAATTTATTAGAGTCATTGTCTCTTTATGAGCATCTGAATTTAATTGTTAATATTGATCTGGTCCTAGGCTTTAGCATTGACAATAAGATGATGGCCAATGAGCTATTCTTTTAGTGCATTCTCTTTCTCTCGACTATAGACAAATCAAATTGTGTAAAAGAGACCATTCTCAGAATTTATAATGGAGGTGCAAACTATATATATTAGAATGACTGGAAAATGCATTTATGTTATTAAAAATTAGTGGAAAAAGTTGAGAGCATGCAAAAGGTATGCGTTGCATATTAAAAAATAATCAATTACATATTTCTGAATTTTATTGGACTGGGTGTCCTTTATTATGGGTATCTGCCATGCTGTCAAAATAGCACACACACTTGCAGACTAAGGTAGTTGTACCCTTTCCAAACTTGCTGTCTTTCATGGCAGAATTTCTTTCAGGGAACTTAGTCCACACTAAGATAAATGCTGGACTCAAGGAAAAGCTTCGCTGCCTTGTTTTGCCCTTAAGAATTCAGCCACCACTGTTTGTTATTTATTTATTTATTTATTTTTCAATTTATATCCTGCCTTTTTCCTACAAAGGGCTCAAGGCAGCTTACATCTCCTCCTCCATCTTATCCCCACAACAACAACCCTGTGAGGTAGGTTGGGCTGAGAGTTTGTGACTGGCCCAAAGTCACCCAGTTGGCTCCATGGCTGAGTGGGGACTTGAACCCAGATCGTCTGAGTCCCAGTCCCATGCTCTTAACCACTGCACCACACTGGCTCTGTTAGGGAAATACGAGTTGTTAAAGAGAGCTTAGGCTGCTTTTTTTCAAAGCCTTAATTCTGAAATACAAAGAGATGAAAAGTACTGAATGAGAGTAACAAGGCTCTCCCAAAAACAAATCAGTTTGTTTCATGGACTCGTTATGTCAGGCGTGTAGCATTGTTCAAGGGAGAATCCATAGAGCCTGCTTGATGTATGAGGCATCATTGTATCAGTATTCTATTCAAAACACAATTTGTTTTCAGGGCATCTGATGGTGAATGCATGAAATTAGCTATTAGCAATCACATGCCACACAAAAATGCATACAGTTTTTATTTATTTATTATTTATTAAAACATTTCTATGCCGCCCCTTGCCGAAGCCTCGGGGCGGCTCACAGCATAATTGCAGTTTTAATTGCAGGAGTCTTGGCAGTCACATGTATTGCTTATGGTACAAGCATGTCACAGGTCATAATATAGTACTTCAGTTGCAGGAGATAATGTAGTGTGTGCTGCAGTTTCCGTCTGCCATTTTCAGTCCAATAACTGCATGTGCACCTTTGCTGCTGCACAAGAATAGAGATAAAAAAAATAAAGTGCAGTCCTTCACTTCTACATGGTTGTGTAGGTGTGCAGTGAAAAATAGCCACCAAAACAAACACATAAATACATAGATTTCCTGTCTGCAAATTCCATGAAAATCAATGTGAGTGAAGATTCAGAGGGGAGAAAATGGAAAAGGTTTGGGGAAATGGGCTTTTGCTCAATTGTTTTAATAAATCACTCCCACTTTTCCATTGTCTTTTTCCTGGGCCTTCACATCTCTACTGTGGAAAGAGCAGGAAATGAGAGGAGGTGGTGGAGGAGAAAGTCTATACTAAAGTGGCAAAAGGCTGGGGTGATCGATTATGTTTGTTTACAAGCATTGATAAACAACAGATATCTGCACATTTCAAAACAGTATACCCAGATGAATGAAGGTATAAACCAATATGCGGAATCAGTAAGCTGTATCTATATTTCCATAATAATGAAATATATAGTGGAATAAGAGACATGTAAGCGCTTACATCCGTATATGCCCAGCTGCCCCCTGAGATCGGCGGGAGAGGCCCTTCTCCGGGAGCCCTCCATGGAAGAAGTTAGGAGGGTGGTTACTTGGAGGAGGGCTTTCTCAGCGGTGGCGCCTAAGTTATGGAATGCGCTCCCCAGAGAGGTCCGCCTGGCGCCATCGTTATTTGTTTTTCGGCGCCAGGTGAAGACCTTTTTATTTAAGCAGTATTTTAAATGTTAATATTCTTGAATTTTATCTGGCCAGGGCGGCTTGTTTTATATTGTATGTTTTATATCATATATTTGTATTTTAATGTATATATTTTAAAATGTTATTTTAATTTATTGTTGTAAGCCGCCCCGAGGCTTCGGCGAATGGGGCGGCATAAAAATGTTTTAATAAATAAAAAAAAATAAAAATAAAATATAGAAGGCTTACATAAATAAAAATTCTTGGCAACTGCCTAATTTCAGAGGAAAGAGCACTCTGCACTTAATATTCTGCTCTAGACATTCACAAAGTGTTCCAATGAAATATGTGGCACCACTGGGAGGGCCTAACCAGATGAATGGTTCCATAGGGAAGAAAGGGAACTCTCTTAGGTAACTAGGTCACAAGTTCTTCAGAGCATCCTATCCTAATAACAAAACCTTAAAGCTGGCCTGGCAGCCACAAGCAGCAAATGCAGTTCCTTCAGCACAGCTGTAAGATACAGTACTGCCAGTAGTTTGGCCCACTCAGCATTCTGTGCCATCTGCAACGTTAAGACCCTCCTCAAGGGTAGCCCCATATAAAGCATACTATAATAATGCAGTCCTGGTGGACTACTACCACCAAGCTGCCCTGCTCTAAGAATGGATGCAGCAGGTATACTAGCCAAAGGTGGTAAAATATACTCCAAGTCACTGAGGCCAGCTGAACCTCAAGGGACAAAGATGGATCCAGAAGTATCTCTGGACTATGTACCTGATCATTCAGAGGGAATACAGCCCATTCAGAAAAGGTACCCTTTCTGTCTCCCAGATCTGGGAGCCACTAATCCACCAGGTCATCCTATTCTCAGGATTCAGGATTGGACTACATGCAGTCTGGTGATGAAGCTAGGAACTAGCCCAAGACCATTATGGCCTCACATAATTAAGATGTAACAAAGAAATGGATGTCATCAACATTCCTGGTGTCTAGGCAAGCTTTGCTCCAAATCTCCTAATAGTTGCTCCCAGTGGCTTCATAGAAGGTTAAGGAGGAAATGCAGAGTAGCAACACAGTGTCTTTGATCAATAGAGCTAAGAGCCACGCATATGGAAGCATCTTTTGTTGCAGCTTTAGTTGATTTCATTAATTTTTTAAAATCTCTACAGTTGAACAATTAATGGTGGGTATGCTTGTCTTTCCCAACAGGCAACCAGATAAACTGGTGGTGGTTTGGACAAGAAGAAGCCGAAGAAAATCTTCCAAGGTTAGTTTTAATGTTCAATAAGAGAAATATATATAATTGAAATATACCATTTTATCATTGTTCTGATACAAGAAAGGAAGAAGAGATCTGATTTTTTAATTAATCCAAGCTGTTCTTCATGCTCTACTGTTATTAATGTGTCCCTGAATGCCTTTATTAATGTTGCATCCTTGCATACAGACCTGTAGTAGAGTATTTCAGCACAGCATGTCCTTGTGGAAATTAATATTAAACAGATCTCTAAAACCGATGCAGATACCAGTTGCACTCTAGTTTATGTACAGACAGTACATGTAATGCAAACAGTATACTGAACCATTATTCACTATTATATGTTGGCCTATTTATTACATTTTTATCATATCCTTCTTCCAAGAAACTGAGAATACTTCCCTCCTCTGCTCCCAGGGGGACGGGGAATGGTTTTTGCTGGTAGACACTTGCCCCTGGATACAACACCCTCTTGTTTATAGTCCAGCTGCATAATATACTCAGCAGTAACATGTGCCCAGATTTCCTAGGTTTTAGGTACATGGGGATAGGCCAATAATGCTGGTCCTGTCAACAGTACCAGTATTTGTCAGCTCTAGCTATACATAATGTTGGAGATCATATTTTCGCACACTTGGAGCTGACATGTATTGAATATAATTTCTGAGCATCTGTTGCCACCTATAGAAGTGATTAACTCATATAGGCAGATTAGTTAATTGTGTTGCTATTTTTAAGTGCTTGACTTCCTTTCAAAGCCAGTATACTGGCATGTCAGTTAAAGAGAAGATGAACAGGAGAAATTCAAATACCGTTTCTAAAATTCCTGAAACAATATAAATCATCTGTTATCTTCCAACAAGTTCATTACCTAGAGTCTGGTATAATTCTGCATGATTTGAAATGTTTGCATCTGGAACTATAAATCAATAAATTTTCCTAAGTCCTTAGTCATCCTGCTGGTAAAACAAATTATAATGCATCTTATTAGTTTCATCTAATTGAATGCTTGGAAGCAAGTCAAATGCCAAATTCTTTTGTATTAAAAAGCTATTTGTGTCCCAACAATTACATAAATCTTTGGCAGGTTGTTCTTGGCTTTTTTATTTTATTTTCATGAGGATGGAATGGTGGAAGAGATAGGCATTTTAGTTTGAAACACAATAGACTGAAAATTGGAGAACATTTTTACCCAGTAAATCTGTGTCAGATTTATCAGACAAGTGGGCTGCATATTTCTCACCTTGGACAAACACAGTGTTTTCCAAAAGTTTAACCTAGTTACCTCCTTCTCCCTATTCCCCATTACAACAGAACATAATATTGTGGATTGTTGTGGTTGCCTAACAAGTACAAGCCTGGAATAAATTATAGTACTAGATGAAAACTGCAAATACTGTATTTGTCATCAGTTTGTGTGGCCTCAAATTCCGAGTTGTGTCTTTTACTTGCTCTGCTAATTTCCTTAGGCTTTTTGCCCATCCAGCAGATGTAGAGCACTCTAGCATAATGGAATGTTACTTCAGTACAAGATTTTTTAGCATGTTGGGGCAATGGATGGGATCTTAATTCCAGTCATAGCATGAGTACCTGGTTAAATTTTTCTCCTACCTTTCCTGTGTGCTTAGACTGCAACTTTGTCTATCTGTGGATTCCTCCTTGCAGATAACAAAATTCTTAGTGAATGTTGAGGCTTGCTCATATCATATGGGTTAAAAGAGGCAAAATTCAGAACATGGTAAACTATTGATAGGAAAGACAGTGAGCATAGAACATTTGCTCTGCATTTTTACAGTGTCAAAAGGCAAGCCGAGATGCTTCTTTCTGGCCATTTTTGCTGTCCCACATCTGGAATCTTGCCACTGCACAATTCAGCTGCAGAACCTTCTGTAAAGCTCTATACCTTAAATCCCTTCCCCTCAGTCTATACTGGTGAGTAGGTACCTGTATTATGCATTTACTTGAGCTGAGATCATGCATAATGCATTAATAGAATGGCGGCAGCAATACAGTAGTATAATGATTTTATTAGAACCAGTTGGAAGTCACAGGATTAGGATAAATTGTTAGTCATGAAACATTGAGCTAGCTTTTAAGTTCTTCGTGGTTTCTGTAACTCATACACCTGAGTAAAAGAGCATATGGAACATTCTAGAGCTAAACACAGCTTTGGTGGGAGTTTCGACTCTCTCATTTGGACATGCTCCAGATGTGGGCCCACCTGCCTTTGAAATTTTCTGCCAGAGCAACCAGTAGCATGTTGGAATGATCTGTGCCTCGTGACCTTTCCTTCTTTTTCTTTCTCTTCTTCTTTTCCTCTGAGATACTAAACAGAGTTTCTTTCCTTCTGCCCCATCATCTCTGAGATGTTGTCTCTTTCTGTTTAGAGTGCATGGCCTTCAGGGCTTTCTTCAAAATATGCTCCCACTGTGCTTATTTATGTTACTAAACAGGCCAGAGAAAACTGCTCAGTATACCTCTTTGCCTTTCTATGGGAACAAACCCTGAGGGCAGCACAAAATCAGTGCTTACACCTCAACAATTATCTGCATGATACCACCTCTTGCAACTGTTCTCATGGAGTCACCCAAATTAAGTCTCTTAGCTGGGCAATTAAATGACCACCAGTATTTAACAGTGACACAGTTTTAACAGGGTTCCAGCCAACAGGATTTCTTCAGAATTTCTTCTGAGCCCAAGAGGAAAATTGCTCTTTTCTGTAAAACACCCTGTTCTAAATTCATTGTGGAGGCTTCACAGTTGAAATCTATACAGAAGACACATTCCTTTCCCACAGTCGCAAGAGACAAAGACTCAGTACCATCACTGCCTTATGCATGCCAATTACCAAGCATACACACCAGTGTATCAACAGTTCCAGTGGGACAAGATTGTCCATCCCATTGACCACCTCTCTGAAAACATCAGAAATCTTTCCTAGTTTTTCAAGCTGAGAAACATGAACTAGCAAGTCAACAATACTGCACAACACACAGCAAATTGAAATCTATGGCAATGGCCATCTCCCTCAGGAGACATGTGTGGCTCTGTACCTTCAGAGTATATCAAGAGGAAAAGTCAAAAAAAGAGGACCACTTGATTGACCGGAACAGGCTGTAGCACCCCTACAGATGACACATACTATTGGGTTCAAAAAATGAAGGCATCATTAGCTCCAAAGATGGATTCCTAGCTCTAAAACAGATTCCACACAGATCCCTACCCTCACCCCCAAAACAGATTTCTCACACATCTTTACCCTATACTGGACCTTCATGACATCAAAAATTACATTCATCCCAGAAAATTCAAGATGATAACATCCTCAGATATACAGTATATCACAGAAGTGAGTACACCCCTCACATTTTATAAATATTTTATTATATCTTTTCATGTGACAACCCTGAAGAAATGACACTTTGCTACAATGTAAAGTAGTGAGTATACAGCTTGTATAACTGTGTAAATTTGCTGTCCCCTCAAAATAACTCAACACTCAGCCATTAATGTCTAAATCGCTGGCAACAAAAGTGAGTACACCCCTAAGTGAAACTGTCCAAATTGGGCATTATTAGCCATTTTCCCTCCCCGGTGTCATGTGACTCATTAGTGTTACAAGGTCTCAGGTGTGAATGAGGAGCAGGTGTGTTAAATTTGGTGTTATCGCTCTCACTCTCATACTGGTCACTGAAAGTTCAACATGGTACCTCATGGCAAAGAACTCTCTGAGGATCTGAAAAAAAGAATTGTTGCTCTACATAAAGATGGCCTAGGCTATAAGAAGATTGCCAAGACCCTGAAACTGAGCTGCAGCACGGTGGCCAAGACCATACAGCAGTTTAACAGGACAGGTTCCACTCAGAACAGGCTGTGCCATGGTCGACCAAAGAAGTTGAGTGCACGTGCTTAGCATCATACCCAGAGGTTGGCTTTGGGAAACAGACGTATGAGTGCTGCCAACATAGCTGCAGAGGTGGAAGGGGTGGTGGGTCAGCCTGTCAGTGCTCAGACCATACGCCGCACACTGCATCAAATTGGTCTGCAGGGCTGTCGTCCCAGAAGGAAGCCTCTTCTAAAGATGATGCACAAGAAAGCCCACAAACAGTTTGCTGAAGACAAGCAGACTAAGGACATGGATTAGTGGAACCATGTCCTGTGGTCTGATGAGACCAAGATAAACTTACTTGGTTCAGATGGTGTCAAGCGTGTGTGGCGACAACCAGGTGAGGAGTACAAAGACAAGTGTGTCTTGCCTACAGTCAAGCATGGTGGTGGGAATGTCATGGTCTGGGGCTGCATGAGTGCTGCCAGCACTGAGGAGCTACATTTCATTGAGGGAACCATGAATGTCAACATGTACTGTGACATACTGAAGCAGAGTATGATCCTCTCCCTTCAGAGACTGGGCCTCAGGACAGTATTCCAACATGATAATGACCCCAGACACACCTCCAAGATGACCACTGCCTTGCTAAAGAAGCTGAGGGTAAAGGTGATGGACTGGCCAAGTATGTCTCCGGACCTAAACCGTATCGAGCATCTGTGGGGCATCCTGAAACAGAAGGTGGAGGAGCACAAGGTCTCTAACATCCACCAGCTCCGTGATGTCATCATGGAGGAGTGGAAGAGGACTCCAGTGGCAACTCGTGAAGCTCAAGGGAACTCCATGCCCAAGAGGGTTAAGGCAGTGCTGGAAAATAATGGTGGCTACACAAAATATTGACACTTTGGCCCCAGTTTGAACAGTTTCACTTAGGGGTGTACTCACTTTTGTTGCCAGCAGTTTAGACATTAATGGCTGTGTGTTGAGTTATTTTGAGGGGACAGCAAATTTACACTGTTATACAAGCTGTATACTCACTACTTTACATTGTAGCAAAGTGTCATTTCTTGAGGGTTGCCACATGAAAAGATATAATAAAATATTTACAAAATGTGAGGGGTATACTCACTTCTGTGATATACTGTAATCTCACCTCCCCTTCAGCAGAGAGTTTCCCACACATTAGTGACTGGCTTTTTGTCATTGCATCTCACCAATAACTCTTCAACAACATTATGGGCACTCTTGCTGTCCTGAAATCTCTCAACCTCCTGGTCAACAGAAGAAAATTCCAACTTTCAACATCTTGAACCCATCAATTAATCAGTGCAGTCCTAGACTCCATCAGAACTAGGGTCAAATCCCCCCACCCCGAAGAATAGAGTGAATCCTATCCACACTTTAGCAGGTGAGCATTCCCATCTCCATCCAGCAAAACAACTACAATTAAATGTTTCCTAGGGCATATGGCATCATCCATGGCAGTCACTCTGTTAGCCCACCCCCATGTAAGACCATTTCAGTCCTGGTTCATTTGACACTTTGACCCTCCTGTAGGATTCTTTATTTTGCTCTCCCAGTCACTGTCAGACATTCACTTACATGGTGAACTCACCTATCCCACCTCCATTGTGCTGTCCAAGACCAACAGTCAAACTCACAATGGACACTTTATTCCAGGTAAGGGGATCATCCTCACGTTCCCATACGAGCCAAGAACTCTGGTCACACACACTTCACATCAACCACTTGAAGCACCCAGCTGTAGCAAAAGCCGTTTGGACATATGAAGCCACTCCAAAGAGACATTCATCCAGATGGTGATGGACAACACCACTGTTGTTACTATGTAAACAAGTACTCAGTCATTTTTGCTGCCTGGGATTGGTGTCTACATTGCTCTATCACACCAGTCATCATTCACTTTTCAGGACAGCCAACACCATGGCTGATGCTGCAAGTGGGAATTTCACCTGAGGAATTCATACTCAGGAAATGGGGAACCTTGAAATCAATCTTTTGCCACAGCAGAGATTTTCAAGTGCCAACTTTTCTACAACATGGCAAGCCGTAATTCAGAATCCATTGGAGATGCCTTCTTCACACACTGGAAGTCATGTGAAGCCTTCACCTTTTCTTCATTTCCACTCATGAAAGTACTAGACAAGATATGAGACAAAGAAATATGTTACATATGAATCACTCTTTGGTAGTCTTGGAAACTAATTTGTACTGTTCCGCATGCCAACCCCATGTTAATCAACCTTCCATAGAGCCCAGACTTCATTGGACTGGGGAAGGATCTAGCATGCATATCTGCCTTACAACATGAAAAACTCTCCACAAATATTGGTAGAAATCTTCATGGCATCTCACAAAACTGGTACTTGTATCTCTTATGCAATGATGTAGAAGAAATTTCTGAGCTTTCCTCTAACAACACAACAGTACACAGCCTTTTGTGACACACCAGTCATTTTGAGAGTTCTCCAAGGTCTTAAAATGAAGAGCCTAGTCTTTTCATCCATTAAGTATACCTGGCACTGTCCTTGTCCTATCATTAATTAATCTACTGTGTTCTCCCATTCATATACAAAATGCTTCCTTAATCTATACCTGCCTGTTACATCCCCAACTTCTCCATGGAATCTTTCTGTAGTACTAATTTATCTAACCACTAAGCACTTCAAACTACTATTGCAGTGGCCCTTCATCTTCTAATCATGAAGATCATGTTCTTGATCCCTATTCCTTCAGCACATAGAGGATCTGAACAGTTCACCCAACAACATACCTTACCCTTTTTAAACTTTCACAAAGTGATCTTACAATCTTGATTGTTCATCTTAACTTGAAGTTGTATTTGCATTTCACCTAAACCTGCCAGTCTTCCTCCTTCAACCAAACTCCCAGTTAGAAGCTTTATTCACTCAGTGTCTGCAGAACTGTTGCCTTCTGTTGACAGGATCTTTCAGGAATGCCCTCTGCCTCTCTGTCTGCCATTCTGGACCCAGACAAGGCCAGTGCAATGCAATGCAAAGCTAAATGGATAATGTCTACCATTCAGTTGACTTAACAGCTAGCACACCTACCACCACTTCTCCAAGTGAAAGTTTATATTATGATGGTAATAGTCTTCTCCCCTGCATTCATAAGAAGGGTATTGGTACCACAGTTCTGCATCACAGCTGCAGTGACATAAACGGAAATACAGATGGTGCTATAGGTCAGTGTCTTGCTTTGTAGCAATGCAGCTTCCTAGTTTAAGAAACATGATGATTTTTCAAAAATCAGAATAATGAGGAAGGGCAGGGAACCTGGCAGGCAGTAAAACATCATTACCTCACATTAGAAACTCAAGGAGGTTGAAGAGAGAATCCATTAATGAGAAAAGGGGTTCTCCAGAATCAGTAAGTATGCTTGGCGTGATGATAAGGGTTGGGGAGAATACATCCAGAACTGTGCGCCACACATTCGAGTTAGGGGCAGGCAGCTCCCTATCACACCACTGTTATCCTCATAATCTTAGCTTAGTAGGAGAAGGTATTGGGAAGTAGAAATGCTGTCTGTTATTGCTTTCCCCTAAAGGACAGAATGGCTCCTGTTTCAATCTGTTAAAGCTGAACAGCAGCACTTCTCTTAGAGGCCAAGTTTACACTGAACATTATGTTGCATGTCCCATTTATCTTCAGTAATACTCTTCAAGGCGCATTGTCCCTTAATTTCTCTATTAGTGCAAATAGAAATTGGACTGAGCAGAGGATGAACTTAAGAGACTGAATCTGGGCACAGGAGCAGGTCAGAAGTTGGAATGGGCTCCCAGCACTCAACCGCTGTCAACAGGGGTAAGATGAGGCCTGAATGAAATCCTGGGAAGAGTGCTACAGTCAAAGCAGCCCTGGAAAATGGGCCTGACTTTTCTAGCACTGAAGACTTTCAAGAAGAATGGCTATTGAGAAAGAACTCCAAGAATTCTACTCCTCTCCATCACACTTACAGTTCAATTTGGCCCTTGCTTTAGTGGAAAAAAATTAAAGTCTGTAGTTCCTTATTGTACAGTGCATTTCTATTAGGCATCACCACTGCATGTACCTGACAAATTTGACTCTGCCCAATGTTGATATTTCTATGAGTCAAAGTTTTCCTTCCTCTCACCTTCAATCTTTATATAGGCTCATAGCTGGCAGCCAGGAATCAAAAATCCATATCGTGGTGTTGTTGTGTGGCCTGTTCCTGAAAATATTGAAATCACTGTGACACTTTTTAAGGTAAGTGTGTTTTGTTTTGAATAGTTCAGCTTTATACATAGATTAATGATTAACAGGAATTCTGGTGAGCAGCCACAAATAACTTGCTCCTACATTTATTCTTCTCCTTATTAATATCAAGATCCTAAGCATATTATTGGAGGTGCCCCATAGAAATAAAAATAAGTTCCAGAAAATAGTCTTGGAATCCAGCCATGAAACTGTTGTTATCAATGGAAATTAAACCCTCAAACTGTAATCTTGAATTGCCCTGTACAGGCATTGTTTCTGTCTAACACAGGATCACAGCCTGATACTATGCATGTTTACTCAGAAGTCAGTTCCACTGAGCCTAGGTTTGCTTCCTGTCTGCTGTCCTTCTGCCAGCAGGAAAACACCACTTTATATGAGAAGACCTTTGGCATGTAAGTGGGTCTATGGCTTTGGGTGGTATGTGTTTTATTCTGTAATTCAATGGGTTTTTTATTATTTTAATGTTTATTGTTTTAGTCAATTATTCCTTTAAGCTGCCACAAATGCCATTTTTGGTAGAAAAGTGTTGGGTACAGATCAAATCAATAATAAATACCTTACCCTGATGTTTAATTTTATATGCACAGGAAATCTTTTTGTAGAAAAGCCTCAGATGAGCCACCACTTGCATCTTAAACTGATACAAACTAAGACATAGATTTATCTGCCTCAGTGAGAGTTAGCCTGCTTGTGTAGGTTGAAGGTAGGAAATATCGCAGTTAGCCAGTTGCTTGTGCAAGATTAGGTAATGCTGATCTGGTCATGGCAACAGCTCTTCATAAGCTAAGGGGAACTATTTATCATTATTATTATTCTGCCTTTTTCCCTTCCAATGAACTCAAGGCAGCTTACATAATTCGTTTCCTCCTCTCAATCTTATCCTTACAAGAACCCTGGGAAGTAGGTTTGGCTGAGAAGCTGTAACTTCTGGCCAAAGTCACCCAGTGACCTCCATGGCTGTGTGGGGACCAGAACCCAGATCTCCACCGATACGCAGGAGTTGAAAAACTCCACCAATTCCACCAATACTCAGGAGTTGAAAAACTGAACTATGTGTATGTTATTGCCACTGCTTAAACATATGAAGAGGTATGTCTTTGTTAATGCCATCCAAGAGAAATAAAAAACTCACATGTAGTTCTTCGTCGTGGCCTCTGTGCATCACACATATGGGTGCTGCGCCTGCACAGTGCCTGTAGCCGGGAAGGTTCAAAAGCTTAATGGTTTTGGCAGGAACTCCGCACCCCCCATAGTATAAGAAGGCAGGGTGCCCGCCATTTCCCCAGTTTTCTTGCAACTGCCGTTCACTGTGCCTCGAGCCTTTCGTCTCTTACCATAGCTATTCTTTTGTATCTAAAACTTTTTACTGTTTATTCTTCTTTACTTAGTTATCTTGTTAAGATCTCCAAGTTACATTACCTTCCCCATTAGAAGTTCTTTCTAAGTCCACATTTTTCCCTTTCCCTATATATATATAAAACCTTCTATCATCTATTCTCTTATTTCACTATCTTGTCTTTTCTCTCGATGGCTCAGCATGCGGCTTTCTCCAAATGTTCTCATTGTGGGGCCAAGATGTCCCCCACTGATCCTCACTATCTGTGCCTTCCCTGCCTTGGAGAAGGTCACAGAACTGATAAGTGCGGCCATTGTCAGGCCTTCACTAAGCAGGCACGAAAAATCGAGAAAACTGCCTGCGTAAACTCCTTTGGGACCAGGCTTTAATCACATCTGATCAACTCACGATGCAGTCCGCTTCACAGCCTTCTTCCTCGGCTGCTCCTCCCTCTCACCCATCGGCCAATGGAGCAACTTTGCCAGAGGGTAAATGCTCCTCTAGATCTCCTCATAAACAAAAGGAGAAGAGGAAGCATAGCGGCTCAGATAAGTCCTCGGTCCACAAGAAGGACAGGGCGGACAAGGCGGCCCATAAAGTGAAGAAGGTTGATCAGCTGCACCCCCATGTCTTGGAATCATCCGCTCTGTCGGTCCCGACTGCAGCATCGCTACCAACACCGACTGGCCCAAGTCTCCAACTGGCCATGCAGGTGACCCCACCAGGGGCTCCTCAACGGATTGTCCCTTCAGCCCTGTCCTCGCTGGACCATCAGGAGGCAGCTCTGCCAGGATTGATTTCAGATAGAGAGATCCGGGACTCTCCACAAATGGCCCCTCCGACAGAATGCTCGCTGACTCTTACGTCGATGACTGGTTGGTCGTCTCCTCGTCTAGAGGAGGCCTTCTATCACCGATCCATACTATATGCTCCCTCCCTGAGAGTCTGGGACTTTGTATTAATTATGAAAAATCCTGCCTTGTTCCTTCGCAAATCATTGACTTCATTGGAGCCCGTCTCGATTCCTTGCGTACAAGTAGCCTTCCTCCCTCAAGATCGTCAGGAGAAACTTCATTCATCCATTCGCCGAATCCACATGAACAGAACTGTTCCTGCTCTATTGATACAGAAGCTCCTTGGACACGTGGCTTCCATGGTCTCCATGGTCCCCAATGCCAGGTTACAGATGAAGCCTTTCCAACTGTGGTTCAATCGCCTCTTCCACCCACAGCGAGACTCGCCACACCATCCATCTACCTCCTTCTGTCCTTCGGACTTGTCATGGTGGACGGTAAAGGACAATCTACCTGTTGGAATCCCATTCCGTCTATCTCAACCGTTGTTGACTCTGTTCACAGATGCCTCCCTCATGGGTTGGGGAGCTCTCTGCGCTGGTCTTTGCACCTAAAGGCACCTGGCATGGCCACGAGACTACCAGACACATGAATTATCTAGAATTCTTGGCAGTTTTCAAAGCCCTCCAGTTATTCGAGAATACTCTTTGGGACCGAGTCATTCAAGTCGCTTCGGATAATATTGTCGCTGTCTTCTATATAAACAAACAGGGTGGAACTAAGTCTGCCCCCCGGCTCACCTCACCCTACGACTCTGGGACTGGTGCATCCCGAGGGGAATTACTCCTCTTGCCGTTCACCTTGCCGATACCAACAACGAGGAGGCAGATACCCTCAGCAGGCAGATGTCAATGACTCATGAATGGGAGTTAGATCGCCAAGTCTGTCATCATCTTTTTCAACTATGGGGACCTCTGGACATAGACCTTTTTGCCACACACACCAATGTGGTCTGCAGGACATGTTGCTCCTGAGCAAGCATCAGTCCGGACTCAATGGGGGATGCTCTGATGGTTCCATGGACACACAGATTTTTCTATGCGTTTCCCTCAATACTGCTCATTATGAGGACTTTAGCCGAGATTAATCTGGATGATGCTTGGGGAATTCTTGTCACTCGCCTTGATGTTCATGCCAGACAGGATTGCTTCTTTGGCCGCGCAGTCCTCTCTTCAGTTCTTCAATGACGACACCATACCGCCTCTGAGTGTGGTAAGCTTGCTAGTCACCCATATGTGTGATGCACAGAGGCCACGACGAAGAAAGGCAGGTTGCTCACTTGTAACTGTCGTTCTTCAAGTGGCTATCTGTGCATTCACACAACCCACCCTCTGGCCCCACTCAGTGTTGGTGACTGGGTTTACGATACCGTTTTTCCTTTGACTATGGTCCCATGTGTTATATACTTACCTTGTGTGCCTCCTTTGAGCACACTTTGATTCTGATATAAATATGTAATGCTTATTGCTTCCACTTGGGGGTGAACGGTTGGTCTTCAGTGGAGTGGGGAAATGGCGGGCACTCCACCTTCTTATACTGTGGGTGGGAGGGGTGCGGAGTTCCTGCCAAAACCGTTAAGCTTTTGAATCTTCCCGGCTACAGGCACTGTGCAGGTGCAGCACCCATATGTGTGATGCACAGATGGCCACTCAAAGAACGACAGTTACAGGTGAGCAACCTGCCTTTACAGCCATCAAATGGAGGAATGGGTGGACTTGCTGGTTTATATGAGCAGTAGAAGTTTTAGCATGAAAGCATGAACAGCAACTGTTTACACTGATTAAAAATTCAAGATTGCAGCTGAGCTGCTGGCTTTTTATCTGTATTGGCAACGTCTGCTGACACAACGTGTTGTTCATACAGAGTTATATAGGAGTTAGAGATAAGGCCTGCTTCTGTTTGTATAGCAGCAATTAGAAATAGTAGCAAAAGGAAAGAGCAGGGGCTAAGACAGAGGAGCCATGTGTTCTGGGAAGAGATACAGATTGCAGTGTCTCTGAATTGGTAAGTGGCTGTTGAAATCATGTTATTGGTAGGATTAGAGGGCAAGTCTGGGCTTCAGTTACTAATGAGAATGTTAAGTATAGCCTCTTAGCAGTCACCAGTGGATACTTGAAAAGCCACTATTTAAAAGCTTAGGCAACCGGTCAGTGAGTGGAACATTTGCCTGATAGAAAGGCATCTGGATCTTTAGAAAGGATTCACATTATTTTATATAGTATCCCTTATGACCTGACAGTATAACCAAAGTGAGAAATCTGGTGGTCAGATTTATAATGAAGCCTTCATTCCTTCCAGTGTTTACAGATGGAAAAAGGTACATGCCTGTGAATACTTTGTGTGCAAAGCCAGGCAGCTCAGAGGAAGTGGCCTACAAGTGTAATGACAAACCGCTTCATTGCTTGAGTAGTCTAATGGGATGACTTTATTTTTAAATTAAAAATTGAAAATAACAGAGGATCTTGTGGTACATTAAAGACTAAGACATTATGTCATGTGCTTTCATGAACTAGAGTCAATTTTGAGAGATATATTTCTGGAGGTACAAGTAAATACGAGGGGATTGTAAAAGTGAGAATCGGAGGAGAAGTGTTACAGTTTCACCCCCCACACGTGTGCATAACCCCCCCACCTCCGCCATGACTAGGAATACCACTTCATGCATTTGATGAAAGGGACAGTATTCCATTAAATGTTTTTGTCTTCAAGGCAGAGTTGGGTATCTTGCAGCTCTCCAGAGATTTTGGCCTAGAACTCCCATGATCACTTCCCATTGCCTATGCTAGCTAGGGCTGATGAGAGTTGTACACCAAAACATCTGGAAGACTACACACTTCCTATCCATGCTTAAGGTGTCACAAGACTTGTCCTGTTTGTTGTCATAGACTAACATTATGACCCCTCTGGAAAAAAAAGTAACGAAAATGAAGCAACAGTATAAGGGGAACCAAGAATTTGCACAGCACAATGCACAAGAACACACTATACTGACGGACTGTCAAATTAATACTTCTAGAGGGCAATCCTACAGCTGCTACTCAGAAATAACCCCCCTGAGTTAAATGGGTTTGACTTTCAGTTAAGAGTGTATAGCAGTCTTCCCCAAACTTGATATCCATCAGGGATACTGTGCTGCTTGCTGGGAACAATGGAAATCACAGCCCAACACACTCGGAGGGCACCCAGTTGAGGAAGGCTGCTGTATGGGATTTCAGCCGTAAACTATTTGAAAACAATATTTAGAAGTCTAGTATTTTGAGTTCAGCATCACAAGTATATGATTTTGAGGTATAAATACTCATGTGAAATGAATCCCTGGCAGGGATATTGCTTTCTTCCACAGACGCTGGTTTTCCTCATGTTATTCCAGGGTTCCCTGAATGGGTTCCAGCACTTAACAGTCCAAGGAGAATAGGGCAGCCTAACTTAGGAGAAAGGTCATGCTATATGCATGGCTTCAGTTTCCTCAGTTCTAATATACAAGCTATCAGTCAGAAGAGAATCCAATCTTGTTTTTCTAATAAAGGAAGATTGGTCACTGAGAGGTTTCATCTGAAGCAGGATTCATTAGAAGGTATCCCAAAACCTTCCATGTTTTGTCTCAGCTCTCTTAATAGATATGAAATAAAAAAGATAGGTGCCTCTGGCCATATGCAGAAGATTACCCTCTCCCACAACTGGCTTACATTCAGGGTTATAGCTTCTAGATAAGGATACATGCATCTTAGTCATACGTACACTGCAGTATCTTTATTTTCAGAATTTAAGGCTTTTTAAAAGTTATAGAAATGCTGGTTAAATAGAATACTTTAGAACATATGCAGCATGCCCTTGTTTTATTACCAAATAATTGCATTTATGATTAGGGTTGAACACTTCCATAGCAAAGGACAATAGAACACAATTCAGTTTAATTTGTATCAGAATCACCTCACAGTCCAGGAAGTACCCTTCTGTGGTGGGTCCAGGAGCTTAAGTGACTCCTGCTAAAAAAGCAATAAAGATTACTGTTCTTGTGAGACCTTTAAGTGGGTATAGGAGGATGAAGTGTGTGAAGAAACTCCTTCCATGGACTTCCTTCAGTTCAGTTTTCTTAGAATCCCTGCCAATGCTTTTCCTTCAGCAGTTTGCACGTCCCATGACAGGGAAAAGCAAAATTCCATGACAAGAGGTGGAATGTAGGACAATAATGCTGAGGAGAATCAAAGGCAAAAAAAGAAGGGGAAAACTAGGAGATGGATCCACAAAGGAAGCATGTAACAATAACAAGCCCTGGCACTTTTCCTCTTAAAAATTATGTACCCTATCCCACGAGTTGGGGTAAGAGTAGATGGGGTGGGGGGATCAATTTTTTTATAAAGTTCATTGAATTATATTTAATGTGCAATAACTGCTGGGATGGGGGCTTATTAGGATTATGACTGGTGGGTGCGCAAAGGGAGCACAATTTTTTCTCCCTGAGAGATTCCTCTACTTAATGCTCAACCTTTTTATAGTTGGAAAACTGGCACAAAGTGATTTCCTTAATTGTAGTGAATACAATTACTGTTGAAGGTTACAGTTCACAGAATGATACAGGAAGGGTTCTTGAGTGAAACAAGGAACCTTCCTCCTCTACTTTGTTTTCTGAACAACAAAGATACACATGTCACACAGAAAGTGAATGTTTGTTTGTTTAAAAAACTAGACTGCCTTTCAGTATTTCAGAGCATTTTACAATAGCTAAGTAAAATGCAATAAAAACTGTTAAAGGGCTATGTAAAAAGAACACTAAGATGAAGAAAGTATTTAGATATTATCTGGATTTGGTGGGTGAAAACCTGCTAATCCTCCTTGACTTCTCACTCACTTTTGATACTATCAATCTAAAGTGATCCTACTGTTCTAGATTGGCTGTCTAGCTGGAGGTTACAGACACTGTTCCTTCACAGCTCCATTTTTACCTAGAAGGTCATTTTGAAAACTTGTTTGTATAATAACTTACATTTTTATTCTTTTGTTCAGTGCTTCCTGTTCTAATTCTCTTTAGTTCTGTTTTTGTTTTTCACCATAGGAGCAGTAATGCTGAAGGGTGATAATGAACTTTCCAATTAATAAAAATAACCTTCATAAATTAAAAAATACCCTTAGGATCTTTGTAAGTTTAACGGATCTCCAGTAATCTTTACATTTCTGTGCTACCTTCTATGTCTATGCAGTTTAAAAAATGCAGCAGAAATGGAGTTCTTGTATATTGTTAAAACATTTGAAATGATATTTCTGTCTTCTAGGACCCTCATGCAGAGGAATTTGAAGACAAAGAATGGACATTCATCATAGAAAATGTAAGTAAAAAAACTGCTTCTCTTTTGATTCTGCATTCAGATAGATCACTTGTTAACTTGTAAGACAGGAAAGTTTTAATCTCTTCCCCACATGAAAGGATAAAGCAGGGGAGGAATCACTCTATCTTAAAATTTGAGTGATGACTCCTTTTTGCTCATAGTAGCAAATGATGGATTAATATACTTCACTATTTAAATATAAATTCTTTTACTGTCAATGTGTTTATATATCAGCTAATTGGATTTACATAGGCTTATTGTCCATGCAAATATGACAACTACTGAATTCATGTCAAGAGCTACAGGGAATGGGAATTTTGGTGCATCTTCAATGATAACTAGATTTAGGTAACCTCGGTAATCTCTGGTACCTTGGCAAAATAACATGTGGTTGATTGATCTGAAAAGTTGTAGAGCAAGAAAATTAGAGCAAGAAACTAATAATACCTTCAAATCAAGTTTGGGAAAAGTTGGAAAAGGTTTTCTTAAGGCTGACAGCACCACACAGTGGTCAGAGAAGAAAATAATATGGTTTAGGAAAATAAAAGCATCTTTGCCTCGTAGAGTATTTTTTTAAGCAGTTAGGTTGATTTAACACCCAGATTACCCAAAAAGAGAGGGTGTGTGTGTTATCTGTCAGTAGAATCTGACATTCACTTTTAGTTGGTGTTCTGTTGCTTAGCTGGATTGCTTGTTGAAAAGCAGTATAGAATCAGATTTTTAGTGATTTTGGGAACATGTCTATATAAACTACTGCAGTTTTCCCAGTTTGTAATTATTGTGATATTTGCTAGTATTTTTGGCCTGTCATCTGGTAGATGGTAATAAAAATGACAACTATTGAACTAATAACCTTAAACATGGTGCCCTGTATATACTTGCAGTCTATAAATGTACTAAATTTCAACCTGACCCAATCATAATAGCCACAAGTACAGCAAGTTACAGTACAACTGAAAATTTACATTTTTTCGCTCTGAACGATGACATAGGCATATGATCTATTTCAAATTTTGGTAAAACCACTGATTGTACTTAATAAGCCTGAGTAAAGTACAGTCCTTCATTGTTAGGTGAACTTCTAAGCAGTGGTTCAAAAGATTACTTGCTCTGTTGAAGCTCATGGCAGCAACTGCTAGCAAAGTTATATGGTGTATCCTTGGTTTGTTTCTTAAGGTTGTATGCTACCACAACTACATTCTTTGCTAATGGGTTCTAGTAAGTTCTGTGTGCAGTGCCTATTTTTTAGTTATGGAATGTGTCAGGGTCCACAGCCAGGATATTGGTGGCCACAGACAAGACAAGAGCAACAGAAGCACCAGGACGAGGGCAACAGAAGACAGAGTCCAAAAGCAGGGTTGAATAGAAAGTCCAAATCATAGTCCTGGTACAGGCCTAGGTCAGGAACCAGAAGAATGCCTGAGAGGAGAACAAAGACATGGTCAGGAACAAGACAAGGAGGTCAAACAGAGGTGCAGGTGCCTTTGAGACATGGCAAGAGACATGGCAAGGCAAGATAGACGAGACAACAGGAACCAGATACAGCAAGGTTCAGGCAAGATGCACAGCTTGCCGTAAGACCTGCATTACTGAGGCAACATGGCAAGGAAGGATACACAGGCAAGGCGAGATATAGGTCAGCCAAGAGCCAGGCACAACAGCAAGACACTATGGAAAGGCGGGACCAAGGAGCAGGAACAGTCAGGCAAGAGACAGGCACAGCAGCAAACAGGCCAACCTGTGCTGCTGAGGGAACATGGCAAGGCAAGAGAACACGGCAAGACGCAGGACACTGCAGCAAACAGGAGGGCCTGCACTGCTAAGGCAACATGGTGAGGCCAGAGACACAGCAGGAACCAGGAGCTGGTACTACAACCAACAGGGGGACCTGTGTTGCAGAGGCAGCACAGCAAGGCAGGAGATGAGGAAGATGCTGGAACCAGGAGCAACCAGGGAAAGTGCAGGCACTGCAGCTACAAGGCCTGTGTTCTTGAGGCCAGTTCTGGATGGAAGAACTTGCTCTTATATAGCTTTTCCCCCAGGACTCTCAGCTGGCACTTGTCAGTAGACTGAGAGCTTCAGCGAGTCCTTGGACCAATCCCAGAGTGGTGGTTGCTCTGGGTCTGGCCACTGGAGCAGCCCAGACCTGGACAGAATGTGACCTCCCAGGGTAAAACTACGTGCTATTAAATGTAAGCCTAATGTGGGGGTGGAGGATGAAGTTTTAACCTTTTTCCAGTCCTGTGGTTCCAGTATAGAATGAGGAGCCTTTGCTTGAAATATACACTGCTGTTATGTGTGATCAAGTCATCTCTGACTTATGGTGCTGCTATGAATGAAAGCTCTGGGAAATGCCCTGTCCATGACAGCCTTGTTCAGCTCTTGTAAATTACAGCTTTCTTACGGATTCAGTTCATCTCATATTTCATCTTCCTTTTCTTCCTCCACCTTCAGCTTTCTCTAGCATACTCATAATTGCCTTCTCCATCGAATTTTGCCTTCTTATGATGTGCCCAAAGCAGAACAGTCTCAGCTTTGTCATTTTTCTTCCAGGGAAAGCTGTGGCTTGATTTGCTCTAGGAACTACTTGTTCATCTTTCTGTCAGTCAAGGGTACACACAAAGCTCTCCAGCAGCACCTTGCATTGCCAAAATGTTATTCAACTGCAATGTAAATTGCTGGCGATATGGGTGGAGGGGTGTGTGATGTAGTGTGTAGCTCTCTCCTCTGTCATCTCAGGCCTTTCTTGTCTTCACAGGCATGGAGAGAAATGTAGCTGCAGTCCTCAGCCTTTGACTCTCTGGCTTCAAAGCTGCTGCTGCATGAATGCTTTTTGAGGCTATTTGACTGCAAGTCTGTCCATCATGATCTTCTCTAATCAGTCCTTTTTATTCACTGTCCCTGATGTCTGCCCAGTCTCTTTCTTCTTTCAAGCTTCCACTCTCCTTTAGAACCTCCTAACAAAAAATCCTCCCAGTAATCTCCTAGTTCTTCAGGGCCAAAAGAATATTGTGTTCCAGACACCTTACAGGGGGCTACACCTTACATGGTTTCATAAATGTAATCAATTTGCATGACTGCATTCAGCCCAGACAGAGCTGTATGCAGGATATGTATCCTGGATTGAGAAGGACTCTAGTATCTGTGTACAAATCCATGTATGTAGACTAAAAAGATGTTCAGCTGTTAGACCTCACATGTGGGGACTTGTATATAGGACAGACTGGGATACACATGCTAGCCCAGACCCGTATATCCCCCCTTCATGCTAGTGCCCCCCTCTTCTACATCCTTGACTTTGCCATATAAAGTGGCAAGGTCTGAAGGTGCCAGCCCTTGAATGCAAGTAAAGCTCTCCGTGAGATTTGGCACCCTCATGAAGCACGGCAAGGTCATGGACTAAGGGGTTGGGGAGGAGCACACGCAGTAGCGTACAGGGCCAGAGTGGGCAGCCCCACTCCCGACCTGATTTAGACCCTCACAGGGGTGTTCTGACAGCGCAGTGATAAAATTGGTATATATAGCAACAGAGGTAGCAAACTACATTTGTCGGCTTACTAGCTTCCTTTTTTAATTCCTCAAACAAATCATCATGATAATTATGCTAGCATATGAGTTTTCTCACTGTAAACGTTCTTTATCTATTGTTTTGGCTGCACTGTCAGGGTTAGGCTAGGAATAACAGAATGAAATGGTTGTCATCAATAACCAGAAAATAGGCTACTTTTCATTGAGATGAGTAGACTCTGCGCTCTCTGTCTCTCCCCTGCCCCCTGTGTGTGTGTGTGGGGGGGGGGGCAGGCGTGTGTGAAATGAGGTATTTAGTGGCCAAGTCTGTTCACATCAGTAGTTTCTTCTTATCAGGACCGTCTACTGAGGTTCTGCTGTCAGCATCTGACAGTGGGGATGGGATAGCAGGAAACAGTCAACAGAGAAAAGAGTGAGGTTCATTTTGAAGGCAGAAGGAGTCTGATCTGATCATGGATGAAGCAGGGAAAAGATAAAGGAATGCTGCCATCCTTTGCTGGCTTACTCAGACCTACATCTGTGTGAACATAGGAGGACAGTTCTACTCATTTATATACCTCTGTCTAGCCAAGGACTTGTTTGTGTTTGTGTTTTGAGAATGATTTCTTATGATATTGCAGAACTACAGTATCAGTATTGTGCCAGAGGTAATACTTGTAAGCAGTGCTTTTTTTGTAAAAAAAAAAAAAGGTGCCGGAACTCACGTCTTGGGTTCACACTTTTACACAATGGTCACCGCCGGCAGTAAGCACTCAGCGTGCGACCACACGACCGATCCCAAGCCGAGCAACGTCCCAAGCCAAGCAGCGCCCTCACAATCAGCGCCGACACACAAGCAGCCCGCAGGCACTATGTTAATGATTTTTGCCGCCGATCTGCTATGCCCAACAGGGCGATTCACAATCACTTGGAAAAATCCGTCAAAAAAAGGTGCCGGAACGCCGTTCCAGTGCGTTCTATGACAAAAAAAGTCCTGCTTGTAAGGAGCCTGAGTGCTAACTAGTGACATGGAAGACTGCGGACATCAGAGGGCAAATATTTATTTTTATTTTATTCTTGTTCTGAGGACATTCCACCTTTAGTTGTGCTTCTGAGGGAAGGGCTGGGAGGGAAAGAATTCTGTGTAGTTACGTACTGCTGCATGCTACACCATTTTGTGCAATTAAGTTTTTAATTCATTAATTATGGCTTAATTTTCAAAAAAGTGAGAAGCAGACACTCAGAGACTGATTACATAGCAAGAGAGGTGGCAAGTGGCACCTGCCCTTGTATCTGACAGAAGACTGGAGGGCAGAGAGGAAGGGCGAAAGGAAAAGGAAATCAATTTAAGAAAGATGCAAGTAAATTAGAAAGGGTCCAGCAGAGGGTGACAAAAATGATCCAGGGTGCGGAAACACTGCCCTATGAGGAGAGACTGAGGGAACTGGGCATGTTCAGCCTTGAAAAGAGAAGACTGACAGGGACATGATAAC